AGTTCCCTTGAACTTTTGAAGAATCCTGAATTACATCAATAACATATCCAACAGCTTAAGTTATTCATCAGAACTGGTTTTAATCACGGTTTTTACGTTAATTTTTCTTTGCTATTAGGACATTTAAAAAAACATTTTAATGGCATTTTATTTATCATTCTAGGCGATGTTTTAGGTTATCAAAATGCGCCCCTTTTCATGACCTTCACTCCGTACCACGCAAGCATACACTAGTCATAGTGGGCATAGTCCCGTCATAAAGGCATTGGCCCAGTCCGTCAGTGTGAAGCCCGTCAAAATTTTCAACATGAGAACAATACTTACAAAACGCGGAATGTTAGCATGGATCCTGCTAGTAAAATTATAAGAACATCGTGTTGCGTAGTGCAATAAATGAGTATACAGTTGATACAATATAAATAATTTGGAGTTGTGCATTTTTATTTTCAAGTTTCAGTTCCACTGCCTTTTAGGCGAGAATCGCTTTAGTGATAAGCTGCTAGTTTTAGTTTCGTAGTTCTTTTTGGAGGCTTATAGATTTTTTTTCAGGGCGTTAAGGCTCCGTGCGCCGGCTCTCGTTAGGTGGAAGTTTGGGGTCGAGCATCACCGGCCGCCGAGCGCGCTAGCGGAACGGACTTGCTTCGGAGTTTTTGCACGGAAAAAGCATAATCGGCAGTGAAGTCTCGCGCCCGCCTGCCGACCTAGAAACACCGCCACCGAATTGGAAAGCCTCGCCGCGCGCTTTCGACACGCTTCATAGGGCCGCCGCTGCCGCGATGCCGCGCGGCGGGGAGGAAACCCGCGAATGAGTATCGGTGAGGAAGACGTCGGGAGAAAATTGGAGGAAACGGCCTCTGTGGTGGGACGGTTAGCGTAACGGACAGTTAGTTGTAAACAACTTCGCGGGTTCACGCTTCATCGAAGCCGTGGATTTGTAAGGGCGGAAAAAAATCATTCACGGGAGACGTAAAGCTGACTGTCCCCTGTTATAGATTTACTTGTAAAATATCTAGTCTAAAATAGCCGGTCCGGATGGCCGAGATTCCTAAGGCAGTAGTGCCGTAGCTATCTCGGCCCGAAGGATCGCACACTTTCACACCCCCATCATCATCATATCGTGTCATTCCTATAGTTACCATACCGTAACACGCAATAGTGGTCGCTAATGACCTAGTAGTTGATGCGACATTAAATAACAAAAGAAGAGTCTAAAATAACCCTCTGAACCAAATTCTAATCGCCTGTTTCATCGCCAGAGTGACCGCTAGGTGCCGCTAGGTGGCGAAAGCGACGTGTAATGAACGTGGTCCTGAGCCCCTGCCTTTTAAAATAAGGCATCATTGAATTTAATGACAAGGTAAGCAAAGGAAGGGAAACATACAGTACTGACTTAAATGTGACTTCATAATCTGCACTTAAACAAAACCCTTTTAGAATACGCTGGATACGAGAATGGAAAGAATAGAAGGTGTCAGAATGAAAGGGTTGGCGTATACAGTTAAAATGACTGACACTGTGCAAAAGTCTGAGAGGAACGACGTCAGGTGTTGAAGAAGGGATAAGGTGGTGATGCATTGGAGCGGTAGAGGGCAGTCAGTGCTCCCGCTCTCTCCCCCTTCATCTGTTGTAGCGCCCATGTCCCGTTGCTTGCACGGCACTCCATTCGCTCGCAGAATCTCCCGTGTCCACGGGAGGCAGCGCTGCTATTGATATTTTACAGAGAATTCGCGAATATTTCGTGTGCAAAGCTCGTGGGCAGCGAGACAACGTGAAAGACGGGTGTATTTTAATTTCTCGTGCACTAATACGTAGTGTAGAAAGGTATGCAATTTTTCTACAGAAAAACCTCGGTTTGTGTGTCCCTGATTCCAAACAAAAATTTTTTTCGTTGGTAGTGCCTTATTTTACGAGGTGAGACGCAGACCATCAGAGCCGCTCTTCCATCTGACCACGCAATTTTCGCTACGCTCCTTTCACCAACTAGCGGAGAAAGAAGGTATTTCTCCGGCGCAGAAACAGGCGGTTTTGTGTTTAGATCAGAGCCTTCTTTTAAACTTCAGGATCTTTTACATGAAGTAAATCTACAATATTGGACAGTCGTCTGTACTTCCTTTCAGAAGGAAGGCTTACGAATTATTTTTTCGCCCTTAAATATCCACAGCTTTGAATCCGCAAACGTCGATATAACAGCTCGATACGCTGTTATACCGTAGAATCCTCTTATATCTATATATGTAGTAAATTGCTTTCGTTAAGTGAGTGTCTATTCGATTTCACTTTTGTAAGAGTTTCAGTTTTTTGAGAATAATTTGAAAATGTTATTGAGGTTTCTCGTAAAGGAAACTCGAAAATCAAAATATCAGTTTGAAAATCTCAAATCCTCAAGTTCGTTCAGATCGATGGGGGAATATCAACTCGAAGCGACCGTTACAGGATTTTCGATACTACCAATATATATATATATATATATATATATATATATATATATATATATATATATATATATATATGCAGGTCGAATTCAGCAGCAGTCTGGAGGAGAATTCTTGTGACCGGTTACTTTGAACGGTATTTTTCCGTGGTTCCTCGGATCAACACCAGGCGAAAGCCAGAGCATGACCCTAACAAAAGGGCCACGGACTGCGCGCGATCTTTCCCTCTTCTTCCTTGTCATACTCCTTCCTCGTCCCATTACGTACATATACTACACATGGCGGCGCTTTGAGCTTGTCCTCTGGTGGGAGATACCTGGATGGGGATAACCGTGCAAGCCAACGTGTAGGACACCGTCGAATCATGCCAGCCGCCAGGGCAAAATACTGTCACCTTCCGCGATAAATATGCACTACACTTTCAGGGTTAATGGTCTTAATAGTTAAAGCACCCGTAAACACACAATGAATCCATTGCATCATTTGTAAAGGCTAAGCAATATTAATAATAATAATAATAATAATAATAATAATAATAATAATAATAATAATAATAATAATGTCTTTATTAATGGCGAGGCTCAGGCCATAGGGCCTGCTCTTCCGCCTAACCACACTAATCCGCCTAATATTATAGTACTACGTAGAAGTACTGTTCTTTTCCATTTTCCAAGATTTATAAATATTACTATATTTTCTCTCACATGTGTCTTCATTTTTGCTAAGAAATAATGTTCGCTTTCTTTTCTCAACTTCGTCAAATATTCGATATGGAATACGATTAATATATTCCATTTTAAGACCGTTTTTTAAAATCATTATGGTGGTCGTAAGTACACAGTCAAGGGTCACTTGTGCAGAACGTTGCTCACATTCAAAACGAATGTGTTGTAACCATATGTATGCCTCGTATGATAAATATATGCTTATATTTCTCAAAATTAAAATTATTGTGAAGTGATAACGGAACAATATTAAACGTAACTCGTGGTTAAAAGAGAATAACTTCACTAGTGGAAAATAAAAAAAACAACTCGCTTCTACCACGGTTCGTTTTCTTGAACATACCACTAGTACAATTACGCCCTTCTTCAACCTCTATGGTCTTTAGTTACTACAATGGTAAATTTTAATAAGTAAATTATTGAAAAATATTTTTTATTGATAATTTTTTTTGAAAGGGGCCTCAGCGAACAACAACTCTGAGACTCCGGTAGTGTAAAATCTGTTCTCACTAAGGATATTGAATTTAATGTATTTTATACGTTTGTTGCATAAAATTAGTGAAACGTAAACACTCATCTTGGTCTGGAGGAAACTTCCATAAAGTTCGAAATCTATTTGATGGATTTAATCCAGGTTAGAGGTATTACGTCATGTGAAATGGTCGGAGACATACACCTGTTAGAAACGGCAAATCGATTAAAGATTGCAATCCAGGAAGCCGAGACTATGGAGAATAGCTTCAAGGTTGCCGGTAGTTTGTAGCTCTTTCAATTAACGATATCTCACCGCTGAATCTTCTCTTACAGTTGGTAGCAATTTCGTGACAGACGTATTACTCAGCATCGACCCTCACCAACCCTTCCTACAAGTCATTTGCATTCTGCGTGGTGAAAAGTCCTTAGAACGTCATGGATCATTTATGTCTTCTTATCCATTTCACCATTTATTATACTGCTAGGATATTTCTTAAGTGATACAAGACAAACATTAATATTTTGCGGAATACAGCAAAATTCTGTAATAGAATTGAACAAAAATAATTAGTAAGTAATTAGTTTTTTCTGAAATGCAAGTTCTATTTAACATAAATCAAAATTGTTATTTCGAGTATAAGCCTCGAAGATTAGACAGTTAAGAAGCCCGAGGATGTGGTGGTTTTGTGATTCTATAAATTCGCATATTCACGTATTCTGTCCCGCTGACTCCTCTTTCGCCCCGCCCCCTCCGCCTGCTCCCTCCGCTCCATTTGATCCGCTCGGCCTCGCTCGGAGTCACTCGGCAACAATGCTGCCCTATACCCTACGCGGGCTACTACCCCACGCTTTATTTATTTCCTTTTTTTAAATTTTTTCTAGCTTGGACATTGGCCCTTTGCAGCCGCATAATTTATTTTCTAGCGCGAGGATAAATCGCGGGGGTGGACACCTAATGGTTTTGCCGTTATTTTCACCGCCCGCGGTGTACACGCACGCTTTGGGCTATTGGTATCCAGAACGCAGGTTAAAGCACGGGGGGCTCGGGGCCCCAACCCGTCTCCACACTGCCTCCCCTTCAAGCTATCGACGTGAGTATTGTCAGAATCTAGGTAACCTGATATGGAGGGGTTCATGCTTCCCATCTGGACTTTTGTAAAGGGGATCCGAAGCATTCCAAAGACGCCCTTCGCCCTATCCCACCCATGGATCGGTTAACTGAGGTACCACTGATAGGTCACCGGGAAATCCTGGCATAACGAAGCTTAGCACCGTCATTTCACTGCTCCATATTGAAGCTAACGACGTGAGTGCAGCCGGAACCTCGCCATTTCTGATAGGGGTTCATGCTACTCATTTGGATTTTTAGATCCGCCGCCAGCTGCACAGAGAATGGCAGTTAACGAACCCCAAGCCCAATTCCGCCCAGGTTGGTGCAAGCCACCAACTCACTGCAACCACCGCGAATGTCACCGAGTAACTGAGGTCCGAGTGGACGTTACCTCCTCCACTAAGAACCTCGAGCCTTGTGACCGACCCCCTCCCCGGTGGGTGAAATGCACAGAGCACTTGATGAGCACAAAGCTTAGAGCAATTGATGTCACTGCCGGGAGGTCCAAAGGTTCGTGCCCGGAACTAGCTACATAGCTACGTCGAAGTCAGCTGCTATCCAGAGAAGAAGCCGGCGGATTCTAGCAGCCGGCTGTTCTGATTCGTAGCTTTCGTGGTTTTCTGATCAACACTTCGCAAATGCCTGAGAAGTACCCTGACAAATGGGCCACAGACGCGTGATATCTCGTTCCTTTTCCATGTCCTATTCTTCCCGTGTTCCCTGATTTACCCACACTATACTCATTACTCATTTACATGCAGTACTCTACCACACATGCCGGGAGATCACTTGGGGGCTTAGATAGAGCAGATGCCCTCTTGGATCCACCTGCCTCTTCAAGATCAATATATTTGAGCTTGTCCCGGCTGGTAGGAGACACCTGGTTTGGGAAAAATCCCACAAACCGGATCTCGCCATCCAACGGGAAAAGATCACCGCTACATCTCGCGACAAAAATGCACTACACGTAAGGGTCAAACGACCAAAGTTGTTGACGCCCCCGGAATCGCCAAACAATCAATAAAACAATAAAAGCAGAAGCATTCGAGAGCCATCCCCACGTCATTTGGTATGGCGTATACGCGGGATGGCGATCCTCCAGATTGAGTAGCGGTTGTGTTGTGGGGTCAGTCAGGGACCCGGGGTGGTGGAAAAACACTGTCGCTTGAAGCCTCGGAAATGCGCGCGATTGTGCGCTGTGAATAGGCATGTTGGCCATCACGGGCGGAAAAACAAACAAACAATCGTCTCGTGCATTGTCTAGATGTCACGTCGATGCAAATGGTTCGGCGATATTGTCAACAGTCCAGTGAGAGGCGTGAGCTTATGTAGGAGACTACGCAGCCTGCACGCAATGTGGCAACGAGGCTAGCGTATGGAGTAAATGATTATAGATACACTCCAGTGCTGGACATGCCAGAAACTCTAAAATTCATGTCAATACGACTGAAAATTCATGAAAATACGCTCATTTTTTAATTTATTTATCATCACATAACAGGAATTCAATTGTGATAAAATTACAGATTTAAAAGATACATTTTAAAATTATTAAAAGAGAAAATTCGTTGTGCAAATAGTTTATACTGTATGTCTGTAGATGTAAATGATGCACTATGGAAATATTTTTATTGCAGCTAATAGCCGAGAAGGCTAAATAATCAAATCTATTTATCTAGGTATGATTGGAAATAATCTTTTCAATTCTTCTTCTGTCAGCGATTATGCGCGGCCATTATCAGCGCCAAAAACGCTAAAGCTATTGTCGCCCTATGCTGGAGATGCCTCACCCACCCGGCGTGCAGTTTCTGGCACGTTTTCTTTTTTCTTGCTTGCACATTTCTACCTTTCAAGGGTGCTGATATGAGTTGTGTATAACATAGGACAATCATCACACTATCGGTATATTTATGTTAAATTGACTGATCAAATAGGTATTTGACACCCACCCTCGGAGAACGACGCTTTACAACAAAGAGTGTAACAAATTTCTACAGCGTTATTAAGAATGCATTATGTTTGGTCCGTGTGATAAATTCGAAAGATAAAGGTTGCCGAACTGTTCGTGTTCGCAGGGTTTCCTTTGTTTGCTACTCACACCTTTTCATACCATCCAGTTTATTTTCCGACTTTCCCTCACAGCAATGAGGAGATCAGTGAAGTGAGTAAATGAAACTTTTGCAATATTCTTATGCATTACGTTTATTTCGTTTAACTTATTATTATAACTATTGTTATTATTATTACTATAATTATTATTACTATTAGTATTATTTCCCTACTAAAGATGTTATGAGTCGCTGCCTGCCGGTGACTGTACAATACTTAGCGCAAAATGTGAGCTGTTTCCGATGAAGCAATGTTGTTGTTTCATTTCATGGATTAGGCAGCGATGTCTTTTCCGGAAACCCTCTTCTTCTCGGACGACCGATGCTCCTTCGGCCAGCTGCTTTGTAGTCCCTCGCCAGTCGAGGAATTCGGCTTCTGCTCATTCGCTCCAGATGACTGCACCAGTTCATTTTAGTGTCACTGATCTCCTTCTCGAGACTAAATACCTCTAACTCTTTACGTATTTCTTCACTCCTAACTTTGTCATCCAGACTACACCCCTTTAACGGCTTTAAGAAATCTCATTTCTGCGACTCTCACTCCAGGACGAGCTTCATTATAATGGTACTGCCATCGTCTTATAGAACTTAACTATTCGTATGGTTTCTCTTCTTGTTTTATGTCTTAGGGTTATATGAATTGTCCCACAACTGTCTTCTTCTTCGTCATCTTCTTCTTTTTCTTCTTCTGCTTCGTCTTCTTCGTCTTCTTCTTCTTCTTCGTCTTCTTCTTCTGCTTCTTCTTCTTCTGCTTCTTCTTCTTCTTCTTCTTCTGCTTCTTCTTCTTATGCTTCTTCTTCTTCGTGTTCTTCTTCTTCGTCTTCTTCTTCGTCTTCTTCATCTTCTTCTTCTTCTTCTTCTTCTTATTATTATTATTATTATTGACCATTGTAGAATGTGGAAACACGACCATTGATTGATTAAGAATTAAAATTAGTACACGGGATTGGTCAATGTGGTTTGAGAAGTTTTGGCGTAAGTAATTGCTTCTCTAAGCAGATTGACCAATCCCGTGAACCAATTGTATTTCTTAATAATAATAATAATAATAATAATAATAATAATAATTATAATAATAATTGTTGTTGTTGTTGTTGTGGTTGTTGTATTTGCTTGGTCGTAATTTTATTGTGTTAGTATAATACACGATTCGTTCCCACGCGGACTAAAATGCCCTTTTGCGCAAACGCGGCCAATTGGCCACTCGGCTGCCGCCCCCGCAGCGCCTGCCCGCACTGCGCCAGGGCAGTGCACGAGCCCCTGCCAGTGACGTCATTGAGCATTGAGTTGGAGAGCAGTGGCCTACCCAGAAATTGCCACAGAATGTGCCATCAATGTGAGGTGTAAAATGTTCGAATGTAAGATGAGTGGGGTTAAGTGTATTAATTGTTGACTTATTACTGTAAGGACCGATTTCACCTAAGCTTGTTAACACACTAACGGACCATTAGGAACTGTTAACGGTCAGTTAGAGAAAAGTTGTGCTTCATCAAACCTTCACGCTCACCTAACTTCCGTTCGGTTAGAGGACGATCTCAATTCCGTTAGGGGGAGTTAATGCCTGATTAGGCAGGGTTTTGTTTCAAATCGGAACACACCAGTAAATGGACAAAACTCTGTAACTTTGACATTTAAATGGAGGTACCCATGTTTTATTGCAGATTCAGCTATTGCAGCATATTTTACCAACTTTGATCCGCTACATTTTGTTGCTTCGTGATAGCTGGCGCTGTAATCAATCAAAACTACATTTCTCGGGTTTCGTAAAGCTTTACTTGTCAGCGATCAGCAATAAATAATAACATTTATTTCTTAGATGTTTTCGTAATATATCAAAAAAAAGTAGTGTAGCTTTCATGTTAAGTGTGTTGTTGTACATACACTATAATGCACTTATTTTAGTATGAAACATCTATTGAAAGTACTTATCGGTTTATTTTTGTTTTTTCGCTTTTTAAGAAATATTAATAAGTTATAAATATAAATTACTATATACATGTTTTAAATAAAACATTTAACCCCCACGACCACACACAAATAAAATGGTAGTTTTCCTGTCCAGATGGCGGAGATCGTTAAGGCAGTAATGCTGTGGAGATAAAGGATTGAAGGGTTCGAGTCCCGCCTCGGGCATGGTTGTATATGTGTTCGTCCTTTCACCCCCCATCTACACCACATCATCTTCACAGTCACCATACCGTCAAATGCAATAGTCGTCACTAACGACCTAGGTGTTGATGCGACCTTAATTAATAATAATAACAATAATAATAATAATAATAATAATAATAATAATAATAATAATAATAATAATAATAATAAATGATAGTTTGATGCGATCTTGCTTGTTTCCTCAGAGGGTAAACATATGAACAACATAGAATCGTACGGTGGGGACACGTTAAAGAAACGGAACGTAGGGGGTTCATTTTAACGTCTCCATACCTGCATGGTGCTAGGATCCAACGGCAAAGGAAATATTTTTTCTCCTGCAAAGGACCTCCGGTCTTTCCGAGCGGAGCGCAGCGAGACCGCCCGCGGAATACTGGGTCAGAGGGCGAAGGACGGCGAAACGGAGCATTGCGAACGGGCGAATTATTTTAAGAGCAGTCGATCCGCGCCCGACGTCTCGCTCTTGGCCCAAATTCCGCGCCCCCCTGTGCGCGCCCCCGGGCGGAAAGCGCGACTCGGGCGGCCCCGTCGCGCCGCTCCATGGCGTGTGGGCTACGGGCGGATCCGCTCCATGGCGTGTGGTCTGCGAGTGGACATGGCCGGACGCCGCACTCCATGGCGGTGTAGCTACGGGCGGATCCGCAGACGAGCTCCATGGTGTGTGGCTACGGGCGGACCCGCCGACCCGCTCCATGGCGTGTGGTCTACGGGCGGATTCGCTCTATGGCGTGTGGTCTGCGAGTGGACATGCCGGACCCATCTCCATGGCGTGTAGTCTAGCGGGCGGATCCGTCAGACGAGCTCCATGGTGTGTGGCTACGGGCGCGACCCGCGCGGACCCGCTCCATGGGTGTGGGCTACGGGCGGATTCGCTCCATGGCGTGTGGTCTACGAGTGGACATGCGGACCCGCCTCCATGGTGTGAGGTCTACGAGTGACCCGCCGGACTGCTCCATGGCGTGAGGTCTGACGGACGGACCCGCGCCCATGGCAGTGTGGTTCTACGGGCGGACCCGCTCCATGGCGTTGTGGTCTTTT